GTTCTCTCTTTCACTTTGGTGTTTATACAGTGCTTCTATGGTTTCCTTTATTTCTTCTTTTGCTTTTTCAAATTCTCTATTTTTATTGTCTTGGAATTTCTTGAGTGTCTCCTGTACATTTTGGTTGACCCTATCCAGTATCATCTCTATAAAATTCTCATTGAGTACTTGTAGTATGTCTTCTTTTAAATTATTCTTGTGGGCTTCATTGGGTCCTTTGGCATAGTTTATCTTCATTTTGTTGGAGTCTGGATCTGAGTTTCTGTTCTCTTCATTCCCCTCTGGTTCCTGTACTAATTTTTTGCTGTGGGGAAACTGGTTTCCTTGTTTTTTCTGTCTTCCTTCATTGTCCTTGGTGTTGTTACTGTCCCTGTACTGTGTGTAATTAAGTATTTTCTAGCTTGTAATAATAACAATGGTAATATTTAGAATGGAAGAGTGAGCTGAGATGGAAAGCAAGAAGTTAAAGAAAAGGGGAAAACAAATATACAGACAAGAGGGAGAAAGCAGAACAAGGTATCAGACAAGAGAGTTTCAAAGGTATAAACAGGGAGTGTTAGTGTACTAATCGACAGTAAGCTGAACAGACATTAGAGAGACAGAGAGAGGATTGAAAATCAAAGATAAAAAAATAAAAAATAAGTAAATGAAAGTAATATCTATATATAAAAATGAATTAAAATAAAATGGAAAATAGAAAATTAAAAAAAAAAAAAACCAAAAAACTTCCAAGTTTATATGCAATGCAGTTTCAGTCTTAATAATTTGGGTGTCCGTCTCAATCTCCAGTCCTGGAGTTGGTGCCTCAGATGTTGTTCTGTAGTTGTCTCATCAAAGGGGATGCATAAAGTAGAACAAAACTACACCACACACACACACACACACACACAAAAAAAAAAAAAAGCCCACCAAGTGTCCCCAGTTCAAATGCAATACAGTTTCAGTAAGTTTTTCGGCTTGCAGGTGTAATTCGGTTGTTCTCTCATCAAAGGTAGGGAGAAAAAGAAAAAAAAAGCGTCTGGAGGCAGTTCTGAGAGTGGTATCTGCAACTGTGGCTTGCCTGCCTGCTGCTCTCAGCCTGTAGCTGGCGGCGTTATTTATGCAGATCTCTGGGGTGAGCTAGCACTCACCTGGTCCCACAGGCTTTGTTTGCTCAGAGTTCTCCTGTGCGGGAGCCTCTGCTACAGGCTTTCCCCTTTCCAAGCACTGGGAAAGGTGACACTGCCCCGCGTTGTCAGGCCTGCGTGTTTATTTACAGTTCACGTGGGAAGTGGGTCTTCCCTCCTCTCCTGTGAGTCTCCCTCCTCACTCTCACAAGCTTCCCGCTCCTGGTTGCTGGGCGCGCCCCGCTCCCGCCAGGCCTCTCCGCCCGCCGGCTTGTTTATTTACAGTCCCGGGAAGGATTCCCTTCCCCCAATCTTCAGCGCTCAGGGCGCCCCACCCTCTTTCCAGCGTGTCTTAACTGTTCTTATTGCTTATTACTCAGTTTCTCTTTTTTTCCCGGGTGGAGGTCAGTCTGTCCAGGGGGCTATGCTGCTCTGGCCCAGGCTTGTCTGTGGGGTACCGTGGTACCACGAAGCTCACCTGGTCCACGTCTTCCCAAGCCGTATGGGCGCTGGCCACTGGAGGCCCCGGGGGCCCTCCTCGTTTCTCCGTTTAACGTGAAGTGGAGATTCTCTGCACCGGCTGGAGATGTGGAGGGGTCAAAGTTATGCCTTTTCTCGGTGATTATGCCTGCAAAGTGTGTCTCCAGCGTCTCTCCAAGATTTCACTATAGGAGGGTTGCTTTCTGCTTCCTACCTCTAGCCGCCATCTTGGAATCCCTAATCATCTCTTAAAGGTCCTACCTGTTAAGACTATTGCATTAGGGATTAAGTTTCCAACAACCTGAACTTTGGGGGACATAATCAAACCATAGCATATGGGTTCTATGTGTCAGGGATCAAGCCTTCTATCTAGCTATTCTGTCATGCATGGTTTCCATTCTCCACATCCCATCTTGGTCTGAAATGGCTACTGAAGCTCTGGCTATTAGGACTCACATTCCAGCTGGGCATTGTGGTATAAGCCTGTAAACCTAGCACTCAGGAAGCAGGAAGATCAGGAGTTCAAGGCCAGTCTGGGCTGCATAGTGAGACTCTGCCTCATAAAACAAAAACAAACAAAGAAAAAAAAGTCAACATTCCTGACAGCAGAGAGAATGAGGAAGGACATACCTCATCCATTTAAGGACACTTCCCAGTCCCTAAAATGAGGCTTGCATTGTATGATGCACATGCCTTTCTTTATCTCATTGGTTAGAATCTGGTCAGCTGATACACCTAACTGCAAGGGAAGATGAGAAATACAGTTTTCATTCCAGGTGGCCATGTATCCACTAAATATTGGGAACTATTATGTGAGGAAGTTGGTGAGAGTAGATGTTGGGAACAATAATCTCATCAGGGTGGATCCCAAAAGTGAGAATTTCATAGTAGAAATCCACAGAAAGTTCCACTCTCATTTCTGAGTCTGAATGATGACATTCAAATAGTTTCCAGGGAAGATAACAGAATGAGAATAGAAAATTCAGCAGTGTGTTAGCTAGCTTCCTATTACTATAATAAGTACCTGAGATAAGCAAGTTAGAAAGGTTTGTTTTGACTCATAGTTTTAGAGGCTTTAATTCATGGTCAGTTGACCCTGTTGCTTTTGAGTCTGAGCCAAGGCAGCATATCATGGTGGGAGCACGTGGTAGAGCAAAAGTGCTCACCTCAGGGCTAGGACAGGATAAAGAGCAAGAGGAAGAGGTCAGGGTCCACAGTCCCCTTTGAGGGCAAACTCCCAATGACTGAAAACATTCACTAGGATCCACCTCTAAATGTTTCCACCAACTTCTAATAGCACCAAGCTGGGGACTAAGCCTCTAACACATGGTCCTTTGAGGGACAGTGCCTATCCAAACTATAGCCAGGTTCTAATTCAATGACAGACAGACTGAGAGGGGGCTGGTAGAGTAAGTCAAATGGTACAGCTCCTGCTTAGCAAGCATGAAGCTCTGAGTTCAAACCCCAGTACCATTAAAAAAAAAAAAAACCGACGGATTCAGAGAAATCAGGTTGAGAAAAGCTAACTTGTTTGTGTGCTTGTGAGAGGCCATAAAAAGTGTTCAAAGGCCCTAGTGAATCTTTTGAACATGTTTAAATGTGCCTAAAAGGTACAGATTGCTCAATATTAAAAGTATTTTAAAAACCATGTATCCTGATCTTTCTAAACCACATCAACTCTGCTCCAAATTCCCATTTGCCAAGTTTACAAGAAGTCCATGCACTTTTCTTGGCTCACTCCTCTTCCTTGAGTTGTACTAGGATCCTAACATGGTTTTTGAAATTTCAACTTGAACCCAGTTTCCTCAAGGGGAAATGGCACCCAGAGGACATACTCATGACACATTCTAGAGTCAGACACACTACTGTTGCACAATGAGGTTCTCCATAACATATATGGAGCTCAGAATGTTTAGAGATCCAGAGTTCTCTCAAAATAGGACTATCCAGAGTCAGCAAATAATTCTGTAGCCAAAAGCAGCAGACAATAGTCATATAACAATACCTATTCACCCATCTACTAATTTACCTACTTATATGAACATATATTCATATGAACATACTATATATGTTATCTATGTGTATACAGGCAGTGCAGGACAGTAGTTAAAAGCATAGGTGCTAGCACCAAACTTCCAGATTTGAAGCTGTGCAACTTACTGTGTGACCTTAGGCATGTTACTTAACATCTCTGTGCCACAGATTCTTCATCAGTAAAAGTGAGGTAATAGGTATCTCACCAAGGCATCATAAAACTACATGCGTTAATATGTGTAAAACAGAACAGCACCTGATTCACAGTTAGCACTCAGCATAGATAGTACATGTTATAATAAGATGTTATGTCTTATAAAACATTTACAATATGGCAATAAATATACTTCCATTGCACCAACATGACAGATTGAGATCTTAGTATAGCATTAAAATGAAAATTTCAACTATATTGTTTACTTTCTTCTGCTTGGAGGAGAAATCAGATGTTCATCATGAGGCAAGATGGGTGTTTTAATTTTGGTTTTGTTTGCACCTGGGCCTTGGGTGTGCTAGACAAGTGCTCCACCACTGAGCAACTCCCCCAGCCCTAGGAGAGATATTTCTGGAAACCTGGGCTTGAATGCTGCCTCCATCATTTACTTGCAGTGCGACTTTGAAAATGTGATTTTCTTCTCTTGAAGCCCAGTTCCTTCATGTGGAAAATGGAGATAATAATAGAATTAACATGAGCTACTGTACAGTGCATGCCACAAAGTACCCATTCAATGAATTTTAGCTGCTCTCATCATCACCCTTAGCAAGAAAGAAACACTGTGGACTCAAGTCTGTGAGTGCACGAGACAGCTGTCATTCTCAAGTGTGGGAGCCTTGAGTCTCCAGGCTCAGCTATCAGTAGGCCAAGTCCACAGAAGCGCAGAATAGAAGAACCTCAGTCTTCATGTGGGAGTCGGTTCATGCTATCATCAGAAGAAAAAAAAAAAAAACAGGGGGGCTGAAAGGCCCTTGTGAGATGCCAGATACCCAAAGGAATGACCAAACTTCCTACAGTATATCCACTGAGCCTTCTTGCTCCAAGGGTGGGAAAGTACCTGTGTCTTCTGCCTTGCCCTTTCTAGAGGCCTACTTAGAAGTTCTTGCATGTATGTTTTTCCTCAAGGAGAAGGTGAAAAGGGAGGGCCTCACCCACAGGGCACCTGACCATCCTGAAGATCTACACTGAAAATAAAAAGTCAGCATTTATCATTCTGGACTATCCTACTGTCCCTAGGCCTCAATTCTGACCATAGCTTTCTTCTTAGCCTTTCCCTAACCCTTCTTACTTGTTTTCTCTGCAAATCTAGAAGACATTCCCTCTGACGTCTTGTCTCTGGTGCTCTCTTGATTACTTGACACCTTTCATATTTCCCAAACAATTCATTCTTGTGCCCTGAAAAAAAGCTTGAGCAAGGAAACATTGAGGAGGCATTTGAAAAGGTGGATCAGATTGTTGAAGGTAAGTCACTTGGGAGAGTTAATTCTGATTTTGTTCTGAACCAGACATCTACAGCATGTGATATCCCCTCAGAAAGATCATCCTCTGAAGCCCTGGGGTTGTACCACATGTATACCTCTCTCAGACTGTGTATATGTGAGTTGTATTTGGGGGTAAGGGGAAAAAAATTGCTGAGATTTTGTTTAGTTAAGGGCAGAGGAAAGAACAGAACCTGGCACTTCTAACTTCCAGAACTGTAGTCTCTGAAACAGATTGCCCTTGGTTGCCACAAGACAAATGCCTGGTTCCTTGGTCAGGACAAATGCAGGCCAGTCAGTTCATATCTTACTTGCTTTGAGTTCCCCAAGATGGTGGCTTCCAGCCAGCATGTATCTCCAGGAGTTTTCCTCTGCTTGTGATTAACAGGAGAGGTCCATGTTGGGGGACAAGAACATTTTTACATGGAAACACAAAGAGTGCTTGTTATTCCAAAGACAGAGGACAAAGAACTGGACATTTATGTGTCCACACAGGATCCAGCCCACGTGCAGGTAAGGTCCAAGAACACCCCCTCCCCCACCTCCTCAATTCCATCATGGCTGTCAATCCCCACTGTTTCACAGATGGTAACTATTTTACCTACAGAAATTTAGAATTCAAATGCTGAACATCGTAAAACAGCTAAAATCCCAGAACCTTTTCATTTTTTCTGATATTGTCAAATAATAAAAGAACAGCCATGTTTACTTTAGACTGAAGGAGTAAGTTTATTTGCATCAGGCTTACATGAGCTCTGTGATCAGATGACATCACTAAATTATTCCTGTACTTGACTTTTCTCTAATATAATCATTATAGATAGCCTTTGGAGTCACCGCATCACTTTGTAGCCCATTTTTACTTCCCCAGTCATGATGTGCTCTAGTTTTTAGCCGCAAACATGTCAGCTTATTTATTAAGCTGTCAGGAGTTTCTGAATTTCTCCACCTTGGGTCTGTAGGTCTGGGTATTTAACTAGGAGTCCAGCTTCTAACAAAACTCTGGGACTTTGACAGTTTCCCTTCGGGTAAATACCATTTTTTCTGCTGGAAGTACTGCTTTGTGAAGATTAATGATATTTATGAAATAAACAAAGCCCCACGAGACAGATTTACACATCTCCAGTTTTTTACAAAAGGTCGATGTGATGACGAATTCTGCTTTGAGGTTGTGTATCAGGAAACAAAAGTGTCATTGCATTTCACTCTTATAAACCTTCCCAATATCTCACTTTCACAGAAAACAGTGTCCTCTACTTTAAACATCCCTATCAACAGGATCACGTGCCATGTAAAACGAGTGGGTGGAGGTTTTGGCGGGAAAGTGGGAAGGCCAGCAGCGTTTGGGGCGATTGCTGCAGTGGGTGCTACCAAGTAAGTATGGCTGAAGAGATGGAAAGGTGTGAAATGCAGAGCTGAAGGCACATAAGAGGCCTGACCATCACTTTGGCTGCTGTCAGAGCCACCTGGGCAATTCAGTCTCTGGCCTCTGTTTCTTTACAAAATGTAGACAACACTTACCTTCTACCCTCCCATCCTTTTGCTGCAAAAGTCAGCTGTACACAGGACTTTGAATAAGCTAGTAGAATTTAAAGAAAGTGGGATTATTAGTTGAATACCTCCAGGGCTGGGACTGTCCCATTCCTGAGCTTTAGAGAAAGTGGCCCATTTAAGGGGTAGGTACAGGACCCTGCCCAAGTGCAGTGCCCCCTGCCTTTCCTTCCTACTTTCAGACCCAGAGCAGGGTGGGTAAGGAAACAAATGCTCTTCATCCTCTGTTTCTTCAAAAGTGTCCTTCGCTGTGGACAAATGACTCGTCCTCCAAAAGCCCCCTGGGTGACCGCAATGGAAGGCTCACTTCCTTGCTGTTCGTGTTTCAGTATTTGTGTTTAGTTGGTGCTGGCTTTTCTTTCTGTTATTTGTTCATTTCCTATGACTGGGTTTTGTTGTTGTTTTTTGTTTTGTCATCCCCAATCAGTCTGCAAAGTCCCCAGGTCTTCCTTCCTTTGACAGCCTCTGTGTAGCTGAGCAAGGTCCCAGAGCACCCAGACATGTATCTCAGTCTGCAGTGAGAGAAGGGGAAAAACATAATCTGAATCTCCTGTCCAGTTCTTTCCATAAATAATTCCTGTCACACACACCAGGGACCCGGGTGATTAAGGGATGATCCGTGTATTTTCACCTTTCTCCATCTCCAATGTGCCTGCATAGTAGAGTCATACAAAGCCCTTAACCCCCATGCCTATGCTGCCCATTACTGACCCTGGTGTCAGTGTATTTTAAAGGTGCCCAGTCATTCCACTGTGCAACCAAGTGTGGGAACCAGTGCCTGAAGAGGCAACCCTGTCTTAGCACACAGCTGTCTGGCATCAAGTGACCTCAGAGCAGTATTCACAGACCTCCTGAAAGTAAGAGTCATCTGAGGTCATAGAAACTCCTATTTCAAAAATACATAAATTTTTAAAAATTTTAAAAAGAAACTCCTGAATCCCAAACCCACTGAATCAGAATTACCAGGGGACGGGCTTGGAAACTGTACTCTCAACTGACATTTTCCTAGTAGTGCTGTTAACTTTGCATTTATCCAAGTTATCCTTTGTAGCTAGTAATGGGGATGTGCAGATTGGCTGGCTCTGGATGGTCAAATTTAAACCGTAAGAATACAATTTAACTGGCATGTGACATTAATCACTTTAGATAGATCTCTAATCATGGATGTTATAGACCACAGAGACAATAGCAATTTAAGCCATACATTAATTCTCACAGTGCCTAGAAGATTGTACGCAATTAATAAATGTACTTGGGATGGATGGATGGATGGTCGAATGAATGGTATAAAGGGATGAGAGGGCAGATGTGAATGAATGGGTAAGTAGATGGCTAGATGGATGGGTAGTTAAATAAGTAAATGGATCACATAGGTGGGTGGATGGATAGAAGAATAGATGAGTGGGTGTAGATGGGTAGGATGGATGGAGAATCTAAGGGTTTTTTTTCCCTAGAACTGGTCATCCCATTCGTCTTGTTCTGGATCGTGAAGATGATATGTTAATAACTGGGGGAAGGCACCCATTATTTGGAAAATATAAAGTGAGTACTAAAGACAAAATTATTAAAATAACTCATTTTATTTGAATGGTTTTGTCTTATTCTTTCATTTTTATTTTGCTAAATTCTAAAACCAATCTTAACATCTAAAGTATTAAATGAGGATGGTGTGTATTTGAAGTCATGACATTTTATGAACTTTTAATTGAGTATGTAATTACGAAAGAAATTGAATGATGAAAATGCAATTTGAAATAGTGATTAAAAAAAAACAAAACACTGTAGCCAGGTGCTGGTAGTTCACACCTGTAGTTCTAGCTACTTGGGAGGCTGAGATCCAGAGAATTGAGGTTCAAAAACAGCATGAGCAAAAAGTTCACAAGACCCTATCTTCAAAGTAACTAGAGCAAAATGGACTGGCAGTGTGGCAGGCATGAAGCCCTGAGTTCAAACCCCAGCCCCACCAAAAAGACCCACAAAATAAACAAAAAACACTGTATACTTACCTGGCAGGGGAGATACCATGATCACAAAGGTGGTTTTCCCAGGGTCAGGCTCATCCATTTGCACTCTGGATGTGTTGACTCTTGCGATTTCCCCAAATACGGGAAACACGACTGCATAATTTGTGGTAGTGGGGGACTGCGTTCGCACTCTCCCCTGAGATCAAATACTATTTGACCACGCGTGATAGCCCATGCTATAATCCCAGCCACACAGGAAGGATAGAGGTTTGTGGCCAGTCCAGGCAAAGGATTAGGGAGACCCCGCACCTCAACAAAAAAGCTAGGCAAAGTCATGTGCACTTGTCATCCCAGCTATGCAGGAGGCATAAGCAGGAAACTCACGGTCCAGGCCAGCTGAATCTAAAAATAACAAAATTGAAAAGGAATAGAGGAGTGGATCAAGTGGTAGAGCACCTGCCTAGCAAGCATGAGGCCCTGAGTTCAAACCCCAGTACATACACACACAAACATGCACATGCACGTACACACACTTGCACGCACACACACACATACACACATGCACACACATACATACACACATACACATGCATACACACATGCACACGCACACATACACATACATGCACATACATACACACATGCGCACATGCACACACGCGCGCACAACACATACACATATGCACACATGCACACATATGCATGCACACACATACACACACAAACACACGTACACACATCTACACACATACACACACATACACATACACCCATGCACACATACAGATGCGCACACATGCGTGCACACATACACATAAACATACACATGTACACACACGCACACACATACACACATGCACATACATTCACACATGAACACACACATACACACATACTCACATACATACACCCACAGACACATACACACGCACACACATTCGCACATACATACACACATAAACAATCATACACATACACACATGTACACACACGCACATATGCACATACACACATACACACGTACACACACTTACACACATGCACACCCACATACACACTTACACTAACACACATGCACATATTCACATACACACACATATGTGTACACACATGTACACATATGCACACACATACACACATTCACACATGCATACACACATACGGGCAAATACACACACATGCACACATACACACACATACAAACACAAACATGCATACACAACACACACACATGTGCACACATACGCACTCACACATGCACACACATGTACACACATATGCATACATGCACACGCATACACACATGCACACACGCATACATACACCTACACAAACACATATACATATTCACACATACATACACACATGGATACATGCGCACACACATACACATGCACATACACATACACGCATACACTCACATACACAAATACACACACATGCATACACATACACGCACCCACACGTGCACACACATACACATACACACTTACACACATGCACGCACACAAATATACAGATACATACATACACGCACATACATGCTTACACGTGCTCACACACATATACACCCATAGGCACACATACATATACACACATACATACACACGCATACACAAGCACACACATACAGAGACACACATACACACACGCACACTTACACATGCACACACGTACGCACACATACACACATATACACACGCACGCATATGCACGCACAAACACATACACACATATACACATACATGCACACCCACGCACATACACACATGCACACATACACATACATGCACACACATACACACATGCACACACATACACACACCCACGCATGCGCACACAGACATATATAACACTAGCATGCATGCACATATACACATACACACATGCACACAAATACACACACACTCACGCACACACGTGCATGCACACACATACACAAACACATGCACACATACACACACTGAGGCACATGCACACACATGCATGCACACACATACACATGCATGCACGCACATGCACACACATACACGTACACATACACACATGCACACACACTCACATACACACTCACACACACATACACACACAGTTTGAAGAAAACAAGGAGTTATATTAGTGGTTCCTCAAGGACTAGAAAAAAATGGACCTAAAAGAAGCTACAAACATTTTTATACCAAAACTTCTGGACTGTAACAATATTATTTTGTAGTAGAAATGTTTGGAAACAATTTGGCCATTTTAACTGTATAATAATTTTTTGAAAAGTTTCTACTAAGTGGTTGTGAAATGCCACAAAATCTCTTTGCAGATAGGAAAAGACTTCACTATCTAGAGAACTTAAAATTGCAGCAAACCACATTCACTAAATTTTTCTGCAAATATACCATAAACATTATTAAAAGTATCTGGTACCATCTAGTTCATAATACTACTTTTCAAATTTGTAAGGAGTCGCTTGTCCTGAGATGTAAAGACTTTCAAATCTGCTTTATTTGGGAATTGCTTGTCATATGCATATTCAGATTTCCTATCTGACTTTTGTCATTGCCTTAGATTTAAATTATTATATCACCTGTGTTACCAAAGCCACAGCTTTCCAAACCACAGCACAACCAGCATTAGTAATTTTTATAATTAGAGAGAAAGATAATACTTGGCCATTCAACTTTTTATTTGCCTTCGAGTACACAGATATTAACATTCCCAGCTAGTATCATCATCTTCTAGGACCAAGAGCAGCACAGAGGGGCACTGCTAGGTTGTGACATTGCTGTCATTATAGTGGTTGTTGCGTTCTTTGGTTTTGGCTTCCTATCCTAGTTATGAGATTGTTTTAGTAATAACACTTAAGAAGGTTCTAGACTAGAGGAGTGGCTCAAGTGGTAGAGCGCCTGCCTATGAAGTGTGAAGTCCTGAATTCAAACCCAGTACTGCCAAAAAGCAAAACAAAAAGTAAGAAAGTTCTAGATTATGAATTACTAATATTTTGATAATTATTGCAATATAAAGTATAAATAAAAAGAGAGAAGTGTGATGGAGGTGGTGAATTTAACTAAGATATCTTTCTTATAAGTACTTTTGTGAATGTTACAATGTGTACCCCCAGTACAACAATATGATAATAAATAAATTAATTAAAAAATGAAAAACAGAAGAGAGAAAAAGAGTTTTGGAAAATTCCAATATTTTCTTTCTTTCTTTCTTTCTTTTTTTGGTTGTTGTTTTGAAACAGAGTCTTGCTATGGAGCCCAGGCTGACCTCGAACACAAAATCTTCCTGGCCTCTGCCTCCCAAATGTTAGGATTACAGGCATTAACTGCCACATCCAGCCCAAATGTTATTTTATTTTCAAAGAAATACAATTTCATATATAATAATATATATGCAATATATATATATTATATATATCGCCTCACTTAAACATGCCAGAAAAGTTTTGCCTAGTTAGTCAAAACTATTTGTAAATTAGCATAATGGATGATCTTACTGGGTGGGATGGATGGAGAATCTAAGATTTGTAAACAGAATCTAAGATTTGCAAAACATGTGTAAACAGGTTCTTCACAAATTCTTGAAAAGTTTTTAAGAACTAGCTTATACTAAATAGTTGAAGATGAATTCTCTGCTCCCTTATTTATAGCACTATTTGGCATAGAAATCTTTTCTTCCTGAAAAGGCAAAGGAAAACACCAGCCTAGCATTTGTCAAGATTACCATAAAATTTGAATCTGTGGATTTTCCTAAACTTCCTAACTTTTCTAGGGCTTATTTTCCAATATGCCTCTTGCAGTAAACAGTGGAAACAATATAGTTGTACAGTTTCTTCAGTTTCATTTATCCTTGTTTTTCAGAAAAGCAAAGAGAACAAGGCCAGATCTCTTGGTAGAACTATGCTAGGGGGTAGGAATTTTTATTTTCAATCTATGTTGTACAGACAAGACGGTCTAGATGGAGAGAAAAGGAGACGTAATATTGGAAAACAGCGAGCTGTGTTAAATTCCTCCCTAACAGTCTTGATGGCACTAGCTCACATTTGTTAGGTCCTGTGACCATTTACAAAGCCCCCTTACCTCCTAGTAAGATCAGCACAGCTATTTCTGCACATAAACTCACAGACCTCAGATCCAGAGGCTTTTCTATAACAAGAGACACTGTGATTCATCCCTGTGCATTCTGGAATCCCAGAGACATTCCCACAGGGAGAAAACCACAGACTAAATCAGAAAGAAAGCCAGTAAAAACATGAAGGAGAATCTTCCAAGACTAAGGAAGATGAGAGTAGCAATTACATACTGGGAGACGAGCAAGAACTTGAGAATTCCATGCTGAGGTGAAACCAGAAAATTGCATGTTGAAAGGAAAGGACACAGCAAAACTCAGGTCTAAAGAGGTCTTCTGCAATCAAGACTGAAAACAAGCCAATAGCAGGAGAGGGGTACACTACAGAGCAAAACAGGAGCGAAGTCTCTCTTTGGTCCCGACCAAGTGGGGAACTGGGCTGTGGCTTGCCCTTGGTGTGTAAATTGTGAATGTATCAGTAAAATGTCATGCTTTGGTGATAGGTGGGATTCATGAACAGTGGACGAATCAAAGCTCTAGACATTGAGTGCTACCTCAATGGAGGATACATGCGGGATGACTCGGAGCTGGTATGTACATCAGAAAGTCGCAGTGTCCTTGATCATGAATAGAATGCAAAATTTCTAGACGAGTCCTCATGAATGATGTTTCCTCACGTAGTCAAATTCCACAAGCAGTTTGACTCAACTTGACTTTCAGAGAAAATGGCGAGAGAGTGGTGTCCAATATATGCGAATGTCTCCTTTTTACTTTAGGTGACAGAATTTCTTATACTGAAGTTGGAAAATGCATACAAAATCCATAACCTCAGGTTCCGAGGTCGTGCATGTATGACAAACTTACCATCTAACACAGCTTTTCGTGGGTTTGGCTTTCCACAAGGAACCCTGGTAACAGAATCTTGCATCACAGCTGTGGCAGCCAAATGTGGGCTTCCTCCAGAAAAGGTAAGGTTACAGTCAACATCATGACCAAGGTTGATGAAGAATCAACCTTGGATAAACTATAGGATAAACTTAATACAGAATTGCTGATGCACTCGAAAGCTTTTGAAAGATACCTCCAAAAAAGAATACCCTGCGAACAATTATTTTGTGTAATATCCTAGAAGACACACAGGATGTAGAGGATGCCGGACCATGGACAGGCAGCCTCTAGCAGTTGAGATAATTGTTGTTAACATTCTTCTACTCTTCACACATTTCCAATTTGACCCCAGTCTTCTTTTTCCATTTCTATCCTGTTTCCCCAACATAGACTCTCTGTTCCCACCAGGACTCTCTACGCACTGTCCCTTGAATCTCTTTATCCCTAAATTCAGGAGAGACCTCCAAATTTGTGATTTGTGATGGTCAGGGTACTTCCTTCATGTAAAAGAACAACTAATATTGTGCCAGGAAAATGATATCTTCCCAAGAGAAGTCACGTTCAGTGTTGCATGGGTACTAAGGAGGAGGACATTGCATGGCCAAGAGGGGAGGGGAATCTGGAAGAACTTTCTGATTAAGATGACGTAGGCCTTGAAGAGCAATGGGGAAAGGTAATCTAGGTAAGTGGAACAGCATGAGCAAAGAGAGTCAACGTCTTTGTGGCTTAGTTTCTTAGTTTCAGGAACCTCACAGTGTTCTTGAAAGCCAAATGAATTTTCATTAAAAGATTCATTTTCATAGAGCTGGGGATGTAGCTCAATGTAGAGTGTTCACCCAGCAGGCAGAAAGCCCTGAGTTCCAGCCCCAGCCCTACAAAAACAAAATTTTCATAAACTGGATAATATTATTCCAGTGTTGCTGCTGATAACAATACAGTAATTCTTCTATTGCTATTTGATGTGATGGGATAATGAAAAATTCCCAAACACCTCTCAACAGCCTATGAGGGCTGTAAATTCCCAGGATATAAAACACACCCTATTCAAATAAATTTTTAACCCTACATTCCAAAGGCAATTGGAAGGCATAGAAGAAATCTGCCATTTGTCATCATCTGCAATGCTATTCCTCTGTAGCAGAACAAATCTTTAGTTTTTACAATAAATCCTGGCTTAAGGCAGGGCATAGTGGCTCACACCTGTAATTCTAGTTACTCCAGAGGCAGAGATCAGGACAAATGTGATTCAAGTCAAGCCCAGGCAACATCAAAAAAAAAAAAAAAGGTATCAAAACCCCATTTCAACCAACACACTGGATGTGGTGGTCCACTTCTGTCATCTCAGCTACATGGGAGGCCATAGGCAGGGGGCTCGCCTTCTGAGGCTGACCCCAGGCAAAAACATGAGATCCTACTTGAAAAATAACTAAAGCAAAAAAGAGCTGGGGTCATGGATCAAGTGGTAGAGTGCCTGCCTAGGAAATGTGAGGCCTTGAGTTCAAACCCCAGTACCACCAAAAAAAATTCCTATTTTTAATATATACCATCTATAAACTCTGCTTCATCCCCCGAACCTTGTAGGGAAAAAAAAAAAAAGAGAGATGTCTGCCTGCCTCCCAGCGCCCCTCCATCCCACTGCCTTTTGCAGACTAGTCACTATCTCCCACCGTCCATTTCTACCAGAGAACTTAGGAGAGCACTGATGAAGACATAAGTAACTCCCATTATTTTTACAATAGCACAGCCACCATTTGTACTTTAGAGGAAAGGGTTTTGAAGCCTCTATTCAGCAGTCAGCTTCGGTCTTACCCTAAGTATTGATTGGATTTCACGCTCATTACAGATTAGGGAGAAAAACATGTACAAAACCATTGATAAGACCATCTACAAGCAAGCGTTCAGCCCTGAGCCCCTGATAAGATGTTGGAACGAATGTCTGGACAAGTCTTCCTTTCACAGCAGAAGAATGCAAGTGGAAGAGTTCAATAAAAAGAATTATTGGAAGAAGAAAGGCATTGCGATTGTCCCCATGAAATTTTCAGTTGGCTTTGCTGCAACAAGCTATCATCAGGTAAAACTCACAGAGAATATGGGAAGTGACCCTCATGTCAGACATCTCCCAGTCCAATCAGCTTGTTCTGACGTCACAGAATGTCACACTTCCTAGAGGGCTGGGCCCCTCCCCTTCTGGAAAATGACTAGAATTCTCCTGAGCAGCCCCATCTGCAAACACTTCTACAGTAGGCAAAAGTCAAGATGACGGAAACAGAGATGGTAGGTGTGCCACCAGCAGTGGCATGGCTGTGGGAATAGGGTAATGGCCCCACTGACTCCCACTATTCGAAAGCAGCAGGAATCCACAAGAGCTACCATGTTGTCCTTTCTACAGAGGGTGACAGTGTCTCAGGACTTAGGGAAAAACAGAACTTCTGGTTTGTGGCCCAGACACCTGGGCACTCCTTGGTGTACCTGCTAAGCCTCAGGCAGAGAAGTCATTTGCCCTAATCAGCTATATTTCAAGCCACCTCTCCAGAAATCTGTGTCAATTCTGGTGGGGGAAAGGGGCCTGGAAATTCTCCCAGGAAGAAGCCAGTCATTCACAGACCTAAGTGGGAAGTGGGGGAAAGGGTAGCACGTAGATGAGTCCCTTCAATAGTACAAGGACTGGGACAGTCTCCCATGAATCCCAATGGACTGTGGACAGTAAAGCTGTTTAGAACCCTGGAAATGGTTCTTGCTTCCTCATTACTGTCCACCACAAGCAGAAAACCCTGGGAAAATCTTACACATTAGGTCTCCTACGTGTATACCATCAAAAGCATTCTTCCATTTGTACCCAGACACTGACAGCCAGTACTCTCAGTCTCTCCCTCCCCTAAACTCCCCACCACACACCCCACAACCCCCTCATCCTAAAGCTATCTATGCTCCTGTGTGTCGTCTCATTAGCAGACAAAAGGTAGAACATTCCAAGGTTTTAGAAGCTCTGTACCAAGAACCACTGACAAAGACTAAATATTTGTGTTTTTAATTCTATACCTCCTTTTGAGTACATGGCCTCATCTCATCTACACCACAGCTTCTCTGCTGTCATCCAAGAGAGCCAACTTCTCATCTCACCACCAAAAATAAATAAATAAATAAATAAATAAATCCTCAAGTCAATCAATGACTTGAAGTCTCCATTTGAAAGGCCTCCAGCTTCCTCACAGAGTTCTAAGTTGATGCACCCAAGAACCACTTGGCTAGGCAGTGAAGGGGATTATTCCAGGTCAGCCGATGACTCATACAGCTGGAACACCTACTCACTGTCCTGAGGGAGTCACAAGGCCCACAGTGAGTGAACACTCTTATTAGCTCCTACACAACTTGCTCCCCAGCCCCCTGCGGCCTCCAGGCATTTCCAGACAGGAATGGACTGAAGTCCTAATCCCTCCTCTTCCTGGGAGGAGAAATACCACCTTTACAATTCATCTAACATATCAAACATTGAGATTGTGTCTCTGTGAATCAGATCTGTTCAGAGTTCTCCACAGGACACAGAGCTGACTCTCAGAGGGCTTGTTTCCTCATATATTAGTCTGTGGACACTACTGAAGCCACAAACTGAGTGGCTCCAAACAACAAATTTATTCCCTGAAGTCCTCAGAGGATGCTTGGCCCTGCTGATATCCATTAAGTCGCCAATTCACAGACCATTCAGGGCCTGCATGAGCTCTACCACTGAGCCATGCCACCAAACCCTCCCTGATCATTCTGCCTGACAAATTCTGGATGATCCGCCTGTCTCCTGTGTTGTGACCTACGTGTAGAAGAACCACTTCTTGTGCATCTTTTTACATCTAGAGCTGGGCACAGTTGGAAACATGTTTAATTTACTTGAGTCGGCCAGTGATTTTAAACAGGAGATTGGCTTTCAAATAGTTGGAACCAATAGTCACAACCACTGAGGTATTCAAAGGGACTTCTACAGAAGACTGGTTCCTAAGTAGGGAAGTTCTTCACAGGTGACTTTTTGCACAAGGCAGAACTAAGTTTCAAGATCTTACCAGAAAAACCTTGCCTCGTTGACCCTCCCTGCTCCATGAGACTAGTGTTTCACTACCTCATTTCTTATACTAAACTTCCCTAAAAGCCAACTGCACTGAGCTATGCCTTCCGGATTATCTTGCAGGCAGCTGCACTTGTGCATATCTACACAGATGGGTCTGTGCTGGTCACACATGGAGGCAATGAACTGGGACAAGGTATTCACACCAAAATGCTACAGGTGAGATCAATGAAATTAAACCACTAACCTCTCTCTGTTTCTGACTGAGATTTGGGACTCATCCCAAATCTCAGTAAATTATGACTCTCTACATCCAAATTCAAAGACCTGAACTATTTAGTTGAAAAGCTTCTTGTACATAAAATACAATGATGGAGGTGGTGGAAATCTCATGCCTGTACAAGGAGTCCTGGGGCTTGGCCAGGGTTTAAGGATGGAGGTAGTGTTAGTGAGGACACCACTTATGAGCCAGGGAGCACCATGGTGGGTGTTCCATTCAGGCCAACCAAGAGTGTTTCCCACCTTTTCTATTTTGAGACCAGAAGGTATAATATTTTGATTTGATATAATATTAGGTTGCTGGTCTTTTGACATGTAAGGGAAAGTATTTCATCAATAGTCATTGTCCTGTAGTTTTTAAAGGACATTTTAACATACACACACATGTAAAGTAAGGAGACTAAGATCTCAGAAGGAAAAAAAAAATCCTTTAAGTTGAATACACTTAACTTTATGATAATTTTTAGATGTTATAGTACACATCCATAGCTTTTCTCTCTCTGGCCCCTAAGCTGCTTTAGAACATTGCACCTCCCACACATTCCATAAGGTTTTATAGCACTCCTCAATTCAGGTACCTTTGAGTCCCATCCCACTCCTTGCTCCCATTCCTGCCACAGCTATAGGCCTAAGATCCAGACCTGACCAATTCTGAACCCTATTGGCTTCAGGAAGAAAACACATGACTCACACAAGGCCAATCAATGTCCTTTTCTGAAACAGATGTGTAGACACTAGGAGAAAGGAATTATCATTCCCCAGTGATTGTTTAGAAATTGCTGTAGGCTAGGGCTGCTGACAATTCTATACCATGGACAAAGCCTGTTTACTCTTGAAAATACGGTGGTAGTGTAGAAAAAAAAGCAAATGCAAGAGGCCAAGAGAGAACCCTGATGAAAACAGAAAGGTCCTAAATACAGATGTACCTGACACTAGCTACATTTTCCTTCCCATGTATATGAGCCAAAAATTACCTTTAAATTTTCATCACTAAGAAACAATGAAATTGTCCTTATTTTTTTAATGTACCTTTCCAGGAAAACTTAATATTTAAGGGTATTAGTCAGAAGATTGGCATTTGGGAACAAGAACAGGTACATACTACAGACAGCTTGAGATTTTGCAAAAGACAATAGCAGCCACAATAATACTTTGTTCATTCTTGCCAGTTCTCTCTTTCATTTCTTTCCTTTTCATTTGTTATTTCTTTTTTATTAGACACCTTAATTTCTGAGAGATAAAAGGAACAGGAAAATTTAAACATGAACAGCAAAGACTAAAGAAATATAAGCAGTAGGAACAAGTAGAAGAAAAAGAGGAAGTTGTTAAAGTTGAGATGAGATGTGGGCAAGAAGACAGGGTCATCTCTCTCTCTCTCTCTCTCTCTCTGCCCCCCATCTCTACCCCAACCCCTGCTACCACCACTGCAAATAAGTGCCTGAATATTTCAACTCAGCCTACTCCCTATACATGTAAAACTTAGAAAAAAGGAAATCCTTAACATCCTAAATACAATAAATTTGAAAAGAGCCACTGTGGAATGTTACCAAGAAGATGCCTTAAAAAACAGCATGGAGCCCTACTAAAAAGTGGTTTTGATGCCTATAAAACATTATTTTAGGCTTTAAAGGATATCATGGATGCAATTTTTAAAGTAGTTTTGTTATTCAGAAAAATAACGACTTAAATCTTCATAGATGTCCTCACTGGCCTTGAAAATATGTCTTTTCCCACAGGTGGCCAGCCGTGAATTAAAAATTCCCATGTCGTATATGCACATCTGTGAAACAAGCACAGCCACAGTGCCTAATACAATCGCGACGGCAGCGTCCATCGGTGCAGATGTCAATGGCAGAGCTGTGCAGGTGACTCTTTCCCTGGTGGACTTTATCCACAGCTCTGGTTTTCTTAGCTGGATACAATCACGGTAGTTGGCTTCAGAGAAGTTATCTGTCACTAAACAAAAACCATAGGATAACCAAGATGCCAGGAGAGTAACATTAATTGGAGTAGTCTAAACTGAAGTGACAGATCCAACACAACAAAATTCCCTTTTGTGTATGAGTGTAGAGGGAAGACACCCAAAATGATAGTGGTTCTACCATCTTCAACATGTAGCTTTCAAGCAGCTCTGAGCAGTGCCATTTCAATGAGCATGAAGGGGCCCAGGAGGAAAATTCCAGCCCAGAAGTGAAATCGATGCAAGTCACTTCTGCTTATAATCCAGTAGCAGAGCTGGTCACAAGAGGGTTAGGAAATGTAGATTAGTGAGAAACCATGTGCCCAGCTACTCTGGAAGAAGAGGAGAGTGGATATTGGTGAACAAGAAGTCTCTATCCCTGGGAGACATAGAGGAAATTTCAGAACACAACCAAGTATTGCAGAGCCATGTCAGTTTCACCAGGCCCAAACAAGCGCCTGTGAGTGAGCAGGCCAAACCCCAGCCAAGCAGGTAGGGTGCAAGTTTAGTGTTGCCATCAGTGGAGTTCTTCCAGAGTACTCAGAGCGTCCCTACAACCTATTTTCCTTTTCTATTTTTCTTTTCTTTTTTTTTTCCTTGGCAGTAATAGGTTTGAACTCAGGGCCTCGCACTTGCTAGGCAGGTGCTCTACCCTTGAGCCACACCTCCAGCCCTCCTTTATTTTTTTAATTTTTATTTTTTTTATTATTCATATGTGCATACAATGATTGGGTCATTTCTCCCCCTGCCCCCACACCCTCCCTTTCCACCCACTCCACCCCCTCCCTCTCCCCCCCACCCCCTCTATACCCAGCAGAAACTATTTTGCCCTTATCTCTAATTTTGTTGAAGAGAGAGTATAAGCAATAATAGGAAGGAACAAGGGTTTTTGCTAGTTGAGGTAAAGATAGCTATACAGGGAGTTTGACTCACATTAATTTCCTGTGCCTGTGTGTTACCTTCTAGGTTAATTCTTTTTGATCTAACCTTATATAGTTCCTGGTCCCCTTCTCCTATTGGCCTCAGTTGCTTTTAAGGTATCTGCTTTAGTTTCTCTGCGCTGAGGGCAACAAATGCTAGCTAATTTTTTAGGTGTCTTACCTATCCTCGTATCTCCCTTGTGTGCACTCGCTTTTATCATGTGATCAAAGTCCAATCCCCTTGTTGTGTTTGCCCTTGATCTAATGTCCACATATGAGGGAGAACATACGATTTTTGGTCTTTTGGGCCAGGCTAACCTCACTCAGAATGATGTTCTCCAATTCCATCCATTTACCAACGAATGATAACATTTCGTTCTTCTTCATGGCTGCATAAAATTCCATTGTGTATAGATACCACATTTTCTTGATCCATTCATTAGTAGTGGGGCATCTTGGCTGTTTCCATAACTTGGCTATTGTGAATAGTGCTGTAATAAACATGGGTGTGCAGGTGCCTCTGGAGTACCCTGTGTCAGAGTCTTTTGGGTATATCCCCAAGAGTGGTATTGTCCAGCCCTCCTTTGTACTTGTGATGGATGCACTAAATTTTTACTATCTCAGAATAGAATCATGACTTCATAGTCCTTAATTCAAACTGCATTTGTCATGTTTCTGTTACAAATGATTCCCTTTTATCACTGGGACATATTCTCCCAGGACACTGCACAGATGCGAAGAGGAACTACTTTTATTTGTTTTTATTTATTTTTTCTGCTGACCCTTTTGTTTGTATTTTGTTTTTGAGATAAGGTTGCATTAATTTTGCCCACTTGCCTCCTGCCTCAACCTACTGAGTAACTGGGATTATAGATGTGCACCACCACACCCAGCTTTTAAATCAATCTGTATGAGGACACCTCAGAGGGGTTCAATAAGTAGAGGCTCTTTTTGCTCAGAAAAAATATGCAAAAAACTTCAAATTCATGAGACTCCCTTTGAGGAGGACCAAACACAAAAGAGGCACAGCTCAGTGAATACAGGAGTTGTCATTCTAAAGTGTTAGTACATTTTCTGGGTTATCAAGTTCCAGGTTTCTGTTTTAAGAATCAGAAACTCTGTACAACTAGGTGATTATAAAGCAAATTTCCTTGATTTCTCATTATGAAACCAAAGCCAAGACCTTTGATATTGTAGTTTGATAGTGAATGGATGAACAGATGGGGGGATGGGCAGAGACTTGAATGTATCAGACCCAACAGAATACTAGCGTGCCATTGTTACAGATGAGGAAAGCACAAAGTTGAATGAAAACAAGATGTTTATTCCATTTATTTTCATGGCCAGAAAATACAAAAGAAAGTACACATCAAAGAGGTAGACAAAGGGAAGAAGGAGTTAAGAGCCAGAATATTCTATGAAAGAGTATCTGAGAGTAGAAATTCAGATGAATGACATTTTAAGAGGTGAACCAGGAAGGAAAAAACAAAACCTTCCATTACTGATGCTATCCTCAAGGGCAGGGGCTGTGTTATCGCTGTGTTCCTAAAGTGTCAGTAGCAGGCACACTGTAAACACTTGCTGACCTACGATCAGTGAATATTCTTTCACACGAATCCTAACCACTAGGCTTTTTTCTAATGTATTCTCTTCTTTATTTCTTCAAGAATGCTTGCCAGATTCTTCTGAAACGCCTTGAGCCCATCATTAAGAAAAAACCAGAAGGTACATGGGAAGACTGGGTAAGTGTTCCTCTGCATTTGTTACTGCAAATGGAAAAAACAATCCAAACCAGTGCTGAGAGAGCAGTACACAGCCACCCCACATAGAGAGAGTTTCTCTAACTCTGTCTCAATGATACAGCATGCTTCTCCCCCAACTTTGGAAAGCTCTTCTCCGACTGAGTCAATTTCTATGACAGGTAAGATTACCAAAGGTTGAAAAGGTTACTCCAGGATATATACCGGGTGTGTATGGAGACAGCACACAGGAAACAGCAGTCACTGGGAAGAGGGCAGGAAGCATATGAAGAATACCCAGAAGACTTCCCCCACTCTGTTTGAGGAGTAAAGGAGAGGAAAAGACTGAGCCTTCCTAAACCACACAAAAATACAAATGCTTTGTGTAAGGATGAGGAAAACTAAGATCTACTTGCTCTTGACTATGTCACAAGGGAAATGACTCACTTAATCCAATTTTACAACATCCTACATCTTTACGTTAGAGCAATTATCTCATACTTACACTCTTACTGGAGTTTTAACACTTAGAAATGAAGCCCCATCTAACTTTTGAACTTAGCCCCTATACCATGGGTATAGAACAGAATTCTGTTGTATATTTTAGTCAATTCAGATCTCTAAACCCAATCAAAAGAAAACTGTCAATGTTCCAGCTGAGGAAAAATCTATTATGATGAGTGAGCAAAGCACCAGCAACAATGAAATTATATATAAAATATTCTCATTTTGATCAATCAAATGGTAATTTCATTTTGAGTTAATGTGCCCATTTTGCAGATAGAAGCAGCATTTGAACAAAGGATCAGTCTCTCAGCCACTGGATACTTCAGGTAAAAATTAAAACAATATCTTGACTTAGCTGGAAAACAGGAGGTAACCCAATAGTTCTGGGCCTTCAGTTCTCTCATTTGTAAATAAGATTGTATTATACAATCGCTTCTAGGCTTCAAATCCTGTGATTTCACATAGTCTAAGGAAATGGTAAATAATAACAATATTCATATTAGGTTAAAAAACCTCTCTGACTTATCTAATCATTTATTATCTTTATTGTGAGTAATAAAAAGAGATCTTCATTAGAAATAATTTGCAACCCAATTTTACAAATCTCCTTTTTTTTTTTTTAAATCAGAAAACCTTCCTCTTTTGAAGCTCCTTGCATAACAGAAGATAAGCAAGGTGATAATCACTAAGCATCATTTGTAGTGTCTGTCACTGGGAGGGGAGGTGTCTTAGTAAATTCTTGTTAAGTAAATAAAGCAGAGAGAAGAGCTGATTGTCAAATTCGAGAAGTGTATGGCATTACTTTTAGAATGTAAATAATCACCAAACTACCCATGCACACACAAAAGAAAATGTTCACAGAGAAAAAAAAGGAGGTAACAGCTCAAACCAGTGTGCTATACATAATGAGCAACAAATGCCTGAATTTATTTACCCCAGAAGAGAGCATTCCAGCCCTCAACACTGATACTTCTTCCAGTATTAATAAATGTATTTAATTACTGATCCCCTTTTACCAGCCCTTTCTATTAGTCCTCTGTGACTTTGGTTAGCATGGTAGGTAGGGTCCCTCTGGGAATATTGGTCAGAATCAATTGAGTTTCCCAGTTGGCAGGCAGGACTAAAGTTCAGATCTCAGACTACCAATGTAGAGACACACTGTGAGCCCATTAACTTCTCCCTCTTTGACATCTTTCCTACAGCATAAGGAGTACCCTCTTTAAAATGGAAGCCAAAAATAACCTGCTAGGTCGTAAATACATGGCAGCAGTGAAATGAGTTAAAAGTCAATTCAGATGAACATGAATCAAATGACATGCTATCATAAAACTTTGGTAATTTAAAAAAGAAATGAATCAACACTGTTTTACTTTCTGGCCCAAGCTAAAGGGCTTTATTTCTTGCCTTAGGGGCTACAAAGCCTTTATGGATTGGGAGAAGGGGGAGGGAGACCCATTTCCCTACTATGTCTATGGAGCTGCCTGTTCTGAGGTTGAGATTGACTGCCTGACAGGTGCACACAAGGTAAGTCAAGTCTAACATTCCTCTTGCAAGTTAAATCAACAAAAACAAAATCGCATTATATAGTAAGTAACCCAACATCATTAGGTAATATTCAAAAAAAGAATGAGATTCTTTCAATTTCATGGGGATTTCCGGAGATCCAGCCTTATCTCAGAATTCCCTGATAAAAAAGATGATGTTATGATCAAAAATGAATTGTTCATAAGTCTAAGTTTAATTAACACCAGGCTCACACCTGTAACCCTACCTACTTGGAAGGCAGAGATCAGGAGGATCTTGGTTCAAAGCCAGCCTGGGGAAATAGTTCAAGAGACTCTATGTCAAAAATACCCAACATAAAATAGGGCTGGTGGAGTGGCTCAAGTGTTAAGGTGCCTGCCTAGCAAGCATGAAACCCTGAGTTCAAATCTCAGTACCAACAAAAAAATTAAATACTGTATCAAGTTTTTTATTCCATTTCAGACAACAAAATCACTTTTCAAAGTTTTATGCAGAAAAAGGTTCTATTCCCAAAGGAAATAATCTGAAGGGAGAGGTAATTTAGCAAATAGTCTTGAAAGAAATGTTTTGAAAGCACATAGCAATGGGCTAATGGTTTCCCAAAGCCAACTACCCAGGGTACTACTGATCTCTAAAGAAATAGACTTCGGTGAGGGTATGAAAGTAATTTTTGTGCTTGCTATTTGAGCATTCAAGAAACTACTATTGGAGACAGGGAGTCCCATTTAACCCAAAATTAACAATTTACACCATGAATATACCTCAGGTACCATTCTGGGAACAGAATTGCAGAAGGCTTAAATAAAATATAATATAAGCATAAGTATAATAAATTGTTGGGAAGCTTATGTGACACCCCAACAACATATTTAAACTCCATACTGAAATTAATAATCCAATATTACCTTTGGCCACCTAGCCAAATGATCAATTTGTGTACAGGGTTTTGCAAATACCAACATGTAAATCATACCAAAATACCTTTTGTTTTCCCATTGTTGGTTAACCTAACCACTTTTTTAAAGAGTCAATAAAGGGACATGTGGAGAGCAGTAGCTGTCATATTTTGTTCAAGTTTCTCCTTAGGTTATATTGATATTATGTCTCAATTTTTATTCTATATCATTTTTAAAAAGCAAACTCATGTGATCCCAAAGTGCTCATATGATTTTTTTTTTTGTGGCGGTACTGGGGCTTGAACTCAGCGCCTACACTTTGAGCCACTCCACCAGCCCCTTTTTGTGATGGGGTTTTTTTGAGATAGGGTCTTGCAAACTATTTGTCCAGGCTGGCTTCCAACCATGATCCTATTGCTCTCTGCCTCCTGAATAGCTAGGATTACAGGCAAGAGCCACTGGCGCCTGGCATCATATGGTTACTTTAGAACTGCATTGCCTAATATTTTTCACACCATGGCACACATAGATACTGATATTTGCACAGCACAGTGTGACAGGTGACTTGCCTGGAGGCCCTGACCAAGGTCCTCTCAAAGCCCAGGTGTATCTCTGGAATTCAAGCCTCTATCCCAGATGGAAAGCTGTTTTTAGAGATAAACTAGTTTTCAGACCCTATTAGTTGTGTTGCCATATTTAGCAAACAAAAATATAAGCCACTTAAGTTAACAACAAATAGTTTTCTTGTATAACTACATCATATGCAGTATTTGAGATGTACTTATTTTATGTCAATTCTACCTTAAGTCTTGGAATAAACCCCAAAGAAACAAATAGCATGAGGATCTTCCAGAACTTATGGTGCCAGAAAAGTTAAAATTTGGTCTTCCTTGTACCTTCCAGTTTACATTCATAGTTAAAGGTTCAGTAATTTCAGTATAACTTTGATCTCTTAAAATAATTTGTTCTTTGAAGAGGCAAAACTTCCTTTAATTAAGGAGAAATCAGAGACCCTAAATGACAGGTTCATTGCTGCCCGTTAAATGGCAAACAGCTGCTGGCTGTTTGTGGTTATTCAACAAAAGCAGTCATCAATTCAGCTTTGGAGCACAGCCACCATCTCTTTCCACTGTCCAATACCCACAACACAAAACACACCAGGTTTCAAGGTGGAAGTAAATTGAAAGCCCACTCTGAGGTGTCACCAGTCTCCCTCCCTATCCAGGCTGAGAAAGAAGGCTGGTCCAAGTACCTGAGAGGCCAGGGTTTGCTTCAAAAGAGAACTGCAAATAGAGATGAATCAACATGGGTTGTAACACATGTGCACACGAAAGCAATGCTAGGAATATTTCTGTATAGCTATCCTTAACTAGCAAAAACACTTTGTCTTCCTTATTATGCTTGTGTCTTTTCCTCAACAAAATTAGTGATAAAGGCAGAACAGGACCTGCCTGGAACTCAGGAGGAGATGGGAGGAGAGAGTAGGAGAGGGGGGCAGGGGAGAGAAACGACCCAAACAATGTATGCACATGTGACTAAATGAATAATTAAAGAGAGAGAGAGAGAGAGAGAACTGCCAAACCCAAAAGGCTAGATAGAAAGTAGGAGCCCGGTGTTGCGTCTAAACAGAGAATGATGTTACCAGAATAAACACTGGGAAATGAGGGCAGAAGGAAATCCAGAGATACTCCTGAGATAGCCCAAAGACACATAAGATCCTTCTTGGCTCCCTAAAAACCCGCATGCAGACACCCTGTACCACAACAGAAGGACCAGATTAGTGTGATGCTTCTTAGAGAAGGAAGTATAGCAAAGTCAAAGTTGATGTCAACATTTGCCATTGTCACTTTCAAGGTCTTGCAAATCCCCAAACTCATACATGCCATTATAGCTATATGATTTCCTTAGCAAAAGAGCAGCAATAATGCCAACTGCACCTGACTGTCATGGGGACTACATGAGCTCATGAATTACAACAATGAAGCCAGATTGAGAATCAGATTGACAACCAGGCTCAATTATTTACCAGGTGACTCACTCATAAACACCAACATTCTGTGGACTTTGAACTCACTTAGCAGGAGTCAAAACCATGAATGCAAAAGATCTTCCAGGGTCACTGCCAGACCTGGCTCTCAATAGATGTCTTTCCAACTCTAAAGTTGCTGTCGTTCAGTGCAGTGCAAAAGTTCTGGCATAGCTGGAGATTATTTCAATAAAGCTTAAATGAGTATTTTTAATTCAAGTTTTTATGAGGTAGTAACTTTTATTTTGGGCAGAAAATCAGAACGGACATTGTCATGGATGCATGCTGCAGCCTAAACCCAGCCGTTGATATTGGACAGGTAGGTACTTGCCCACTTTGGAGGATGCTCCATCCTGAGAGTGTTGTGGGGTAGATAAAGAAAGGCCTTCTTAAAAAGATACAACGTCACAAAGCTTGAAATTGTTCCCCTTCAGATAGAAGGTGCATTTATTCAAGGCATGGGCCTTTACACCACCGAAGAGCTGCAGTACTCCCCAGAAGGGGTCCTGTACTCCCGGAGTCCAGATGAGTACAAAATTCCAACCATCGCTGATGTCCCTGGGCAGTTCAATGTCTCCTTGTTGCCGTCATCTCAAACCCCACTAACCATCTATTCATCCAAGGTAAATACCCAAACCTGGCACTGCACAATGTTACAGACTGAGGAGCATGGTCAATGAGCATGGTCAATGAAAGTCTGTCGGCAAAACAAAAGAATAAATGTTGATGATTATCAGGACCAAACCACCTGGCGATGAAATCATCTAGGAAAACTGAGATTCAGGAAAGATAAATGAGCCACTCGGTGATTTCATTAATTTCCTCTTTCACTGAAAACTCTAAAATTCATTCAAAATCTTTGACTTCTTGAGAGAATATTTTCAATAAGAACTTGAAGAATACAATATTAAGGAGAATTGAAGGCACGATGCTACTGAAATCTTAGAAAGGAGTGGCAGTACAGACAGAAGACATGGGTTCTTGTCCCAGTCCTCAGCATTGCTCTGTGATCCAGGTTAAATAATTCGCCTCTCAGGGACTTAGGGTCCACAGCCACACCCAGAAATGAATCCACAACACTGGGTCTCTCATCCTGGGGTGAGGGCAGGTGATCTTGCCCCCCACAGAATATTTGACAATGTCCAGCGATCTCTGGTTGTCACAACCAGGGATGGAGGGATTTTACTACTAGTGGGCAGAGGTCAGGTCCACAGTTAAACAGCCTTCCACATGACATGCAAGACAAACAATAAAGGATCATCTAGCCCCAAATGTCAATAATGTCAGGAAGCAAAGACACCAGCCAACCCTTTCATGGCTAAAGTAATGAAACTGCAAATTATAATAAAGGTCAACATTGTTTGCATTGCTTTATACAGATTATGTGAAAAACACCCTCAGAATAGAAACTTCACTAGGTTTGAGATGTAGTTCCTTGCTAAGAGTAAGTTAATTTAAAGAAAAAAGAGGACAAATCTGTCTGCAGGAATTTCATCATTTCCAAACTGGAACCCACTTTCAGCCTAGGAACTTCCTCCAGATGTACAGTGATAAGACCAGGGCAGCCAAGACCCTTGAGTCCCTGTGGTTGTGGCTAGCACTCACAGGAGGACCCTCAGACACAGCGAGGTTTTGCAGGTTCCCTGTGAAGTGTACTATGTAGTAATAACAGGGACCCACAGTTGTCAAGCACAGCATTAAGTGTTTTGTGTTTTCCTGATCCTCAACACCCTGTAACTGCCTGCATTCCACCACAGAGGAACAGAGCCTCGGACAGCTAATCCCTCAGACTCAGAGAAACACAGGGACTCTGGGCCAGGATTTAGATTTAGTCTGTAGCTCAGGGATTGTAAACTGGTAGCCCACTGACCAAATCTTACCTGAAGATATGTCTTTTTGGCCTACATAGTGGTTGTAAAAGTCAGGAGAAAACAAAACAAAATAGAGTTTTACATTAAAATATCTAAAGTCTCTTGTAAAATTGGATGATCTGATAATTTTGGCTGCATTCTTGGAAGGCAATTGTTGGCTAGAACCAATGAACAGCTGTCCTCTTTAGATAGGACATGGAGGCATCTCTATTTCACCATTGTCCCCACTACTCCTTATTGCCCTCATCTGCCACATCACTCATTTGTATTATCTGCCAGTTGCTTGCACATCATAGGTTTGCAACCTTTTGTAAGTCTGTAATCTTTCTTCTAGAGTACTCTTCTAGAGTTATAATAAGGCATTTTTTCTCTGCTCATGAAGTTGACCAGTTCAATTCATTGAATATTCATTGAATGTTGAATACATGTATATACATATATATATATGTATGTGTGTGTGTGTGTGTGTGTATATATATATATATATATTTCAGTATTGGAGTTTAAACTCAAGGCTTTTCACACTTGCCTAGGTGGCAGGTGCTCTACCACTTAAGCCACTCTGCCAGCCCCTTCACTGACTATCCCTTACTAAATAGGTTACCCTCACCACAGAAAGACAACAAAGCATTCATGTGTGCGTGCGCGCACAGACACATACACACACACACACACACAAACACACACCTTTCCTATAAAACAAAGTCTTAATCCAGTCAAGATTAAATATCTGGAAAGTTCAGGTAATACTGGGTTTTTTAAGATTTACTCAGTCAACAAACCAGTCAGTAAAATTAATTGAGAACCAATTTGTATAAGACTTTGTGCCAAAGGTTGAGGGTACAATGGTGAACAATACTTGGTTGCTGCCCTCTAGTAGACTATAGTCTAGTGTAGAAGTTTTTAAAACAAATGTGCTTTCTTGCAGGGCCTTGGGGAGTCTGGGATGTTCCTGGGGTCATCTGTGTTCTTTGCCATCACTGATGCAGTGGCCGCAGCACGCAGAGAAAGGAAAGTAGCTGAGGACTTCACAGTGAAGAGCCCAGCTACACCAGAACGAGTTCGAATGGCCTGTGCAGATCGGTTCACAGAAATGGTATGGAATTATTATTTCCTAAAAAGTGATTTTTCTATTTCCCACTTCTTCGATCTCTTGGGTAAGTTTATGATCTAATAATCTGTGTCTAATTACAGAATTAGTCAATTAAACTAATTAAATAATAAAATGATTAAAAAACCACACAAATAGACCTTGATTAGATGTCGTATTTTTAACATTTTAAGAAGCATTCCCCCATGTATTATTTATTTTAACTATCTCAGCAACCCTGACGCAAGATAAGTTATCATGCTTTGCAAACTGGTAGGTAAGTCTCATGAGGTGGTACACACCTGTAATCCCACCATTGGGGAGGCAAAGGCAGGAGGATTGAGAGTTCAAGCCCAGCCAAGGTTACATAGTAAGACCCTGTCTCAAAAAAAAAAAAAACCTAATATATATTTACATATTAGGAAGCAGCAAATGACTGATTTCTCCAAACTGCTATAAGTATCCCTACTACTCTGTCCTGCTCTTCAGCAAATCAAAAAATAAGCCTATGTTACACAGGCATATTTAATAATGGCGCTTTGCATGTCCTTATGCAGAGAGTACGCAGAGTCTTTCTGTGGATTAGAAATAATGCAATCCTCTTCCTACTTCACTCTCTTTCACAATAGCCCTTGCCCAGGAGATAGGACTAGGAAGTTACCTGCTCAGATACACACATGGCCTGCTTCCCGATAAGCAGCTGTGGAGAGGTCACTGACTTCCCACTTTGTGGATCTCCTAAAAACATCTTAATTTAAATAATAGCAGCTAGCAGTGACTGAGCACCTACTAACCACTGTATGCATATCCCTCATTAGTCATTATCACAACTCTATCAGATAACTCCTATTTTCCTTATTTAACTATTGAGGAAAGCGAGTTGTGGTAACTTCTCCAAGATCACACAGCTTGCAGGTGAGGACTAAGATTCAGGCTGGCTGGCTCTATGGAAGTGCAATGCTTCCCAGAGTGAAAAAAATTGACTCCCTATTTCCCAAAAGGAAATGTGTGTTTTTGTATCCATATTAAAAGAACCCCAAGTACTTAACAGATCTCTTCAAAATAGTCAGCCATAGAGTGAAAGAATAATACAGGAATTTTGCTGAAAAGGAAGTACCCTGCTTACTCATTTTGTTCCTCTAAGTGATCCTGCTCCTCTTTCCAACTGTAAATCTCACCCAGCAACACTGCTTAGTAATACTAATCACTCATAAATTCCCTCCAAGTCTTCTCCCAGTCAATAGTCCTGACATTCATCTTGATCTCACTGAACACAACAATGACAGTCTCCTGCCTCTGGCTCTTCGCAATGAGTAGTAGGACTGGAGAACTGATGCCCTGAACTCAAAAACACCTCTCTAGGCCCGTCTTCCACTCATTCCTGATCTTTCTTATGACATGGAAACTGTAGAATCATGTCATCTCATACCTACCCAAAAGCATAAGCACTTCCAACCTTTAAAAAATGTTCTACATTTTGCAATAATAAATATCCTTTTCTGGAATGGGGCAGATTATGGAAACTAAAAATAATAACACAACAAAAAGACATCCCTAATCTTCCCTCTTTACCTGAATCTAATGTTTTTTTTTCTATGTTTTATTCATTTATTCATATGTGCATACATTGTTTGGGCCATTTCTTCCTCCCCACCCCCTCACTTCCAGGCAGAACCTGCTCTGCCCTCTTCTCCAATTTTGTTGAAGAGAAGACATAAGCGATAATAAGAAAGACATAGCATTTTTGCTAGTTTGAGATATGGATAGCTATACAGCTGAATCTAATGTTTTCAATCTTCCAATGCCCTGATACCTGGAAAATGAACTCCTTCACCATTCCAAGCTGTTTTAAACAGACCAGTTTGGCAAAGTAACTCCTCCTATGCAAAGGCAAGAAGTGAATCACTTAGATCTCATTCACTGTTAGGGAGTCAGCCTCTCTACTTCCTGATACATGTGACAAAACTGTACTTCCCAAGTCTGATGGTTCCTTGATAAGACTAACTGAACACGTCTTCATAGCTATAAATCATCTACTAATTTGTACACCCGCCAATCAAATGCTTAACATCAATGTGAGGGTCATTTCATATTTTCTAAAATATAAGCACACAGTTCTTAAATATCACCTCATATTATAATCTACATTTGATATTTTAAACCTTGTTTTAATAACATGTTACATTTTGTCTTTATAAAATAATACATGTCAATTATGACAAAATTAGAAAATACTGAAAAGAATAAAATGGAAGTTAAAATGAGTCATAATTCCACTAACCAGACCTAACTATAACCATTTTAGGTTGTATGTTTGTGTGTGTAAACACACTGTGAATCATGCTTTAATTCATTTATGTAAAAAATATTTTATTTGTATACTCATTTTATGAAATTGAATATCCCTGACATAAATCCTTGAAATATTTAAGCAGTATACCCAAAAGACTGTGACACAGGGTACTCCAGAGGCACCTGCACACCCATGTTTATTGCAGCACTATTCACAATAGCCAAGTTATGGAAATAGCCATGCCCCACTACTGACGAATGTATTAAGAAAATGTGGTGTTTATACACAATGGAATTTTATGCAGCCACGAAGAAGAACAAAATATTATCCTTCACTGGTAAATGGATGGAATTGGAGAACATCATTCTGAGTGAGGTTAGCCTGGCACAAAAGACCAGAAATTGTATGTTCTCCCTCATATGCAGACATTAGATCAAGGGCAAACACAAGGGGACTGGACTTTGATCACATGATAAAGCGAGTGCACACAAGGGAGGTATGAGGATAGGTAAGACACCTAAAAAACTAGATAGCATTTGTTGCCCTCAACTCAGAGAAACTAAAGCAGATACTTTAAAGCAACTGAGGCTAATAGGAGAAAGGGACCAGGAACTAGAGAAAAAGTTAGATCAAGAAGAATTAACTTAGAAGGTAACACACATGCACAGGAAATCAATGCGAGTCAACTCCCTGTATAGCTATCCTTATCTCAACTAGCAAAAACCCTTGTTCCTTCCTATTATTGCTTATACTCTCTCTTCAACAAAATTAGAGATAAGGGCAAAATAGTTTCTGCCAGGTATCGAGGGGGTTGGGGGGGAGGGGAGGGGGTAGAGGGATAAGAGAAGGGGTAGGGGAAGGGGGGAGAAATGACCCAAACATTGTATGCACATATGAATAAAATAAAAATTTTAAAAAAAGAAAATATTTAAGCAGTATCATTGGGAATGACTCCTTTGAGTCTCCATTTTCAGGAAATCTGTATTCAGAAGGTACTTTTCCCATGAACAATCATTCACAAAATAGGTGCTTAAACTCAAAAAGAAAATACTTGGCAAATTAATTCACCCTATAAACTCATAACCTTTATGTATAAACACTGGAATGCATTTGGTGAGCAGAGGCAGGGCAGAAATACTGACCACTAGTAATAAGCCCCATACATTTTTTTTTTTTTGGCAGAACTGGGGTTTGAACTCAAGGCCTCATGCATGCTATGCAAGTGTGCTTGCAAAGCAGGCCTCTACCACTTGAGCTCACCTCCAATCCATAATTAGCCCCTTGTTAGTAAGACCCCCTCAGACCATGTGGGCAGTACTTTATGTTTATCCTGACCTGTAACATTCCTAGCCATTCTATTAACTTCACATATGTTTGAAAGAGTAAAGAATACATGCTTCTTCAAATCTTTGACAAGACTTTAGTGATCCAAGAATCACACTTTATTCTGGACTCCAGACCCTCTTCTCAGCTGTTCATCAGCAAAGAGAAAACAACCAGAAGCCAGCCTTGAGTGGGGTGTCCAAAGGAAGCAAAGAGGAAGTCTTGACCCTATTAACAAAGAGGACCAGAAACACACAAAATATAGAATCTTCTGCTATTTCCTATTACAGGAAATGGTAAGACACCTCCATTCATATAGAAGCATAGCAGTAGGCATGGTGGTACATAACTATAATCCCAGCACTTGGGAGGCTGATCACAAGTTCAAGGCCAGACTGAGCTATATAGAAAGACCCTGTCTCAAAAATACACACACACACACACACACACACACACACACACACACACACTCTCACACAATAGTGACTGAGGGTATAGCTCAGTGGTAAAGCACTTACCTGGCATGCTCAAGGCCCTGGATTCAATCCCCAGCATCAAAGAAAAAAGAGGAAGAGGAAGAGGAGGAATCCCTCTAGCATATGCACAAAGACAGCTTTCCCTTGCTTGTAGGATAGGTGAAACTTCTTAACTTGCTCTACAAGCCTACAAACCAAAGTTCAGCATGGCCAGACACATCATCTCTCCATCTCATGTGAACTCTACCCCAGCCAGACTACTTGGAACCATCTTCTTTTCCACAGTCAGTTAATCCCTATTCATCTTTCATATTTTACCAAATCCAACAAATCAGTTTGATACCTTCTTTTCTGCACAGATTAAGGTACCATGAGAACCGTGATGAATCTCAGACTCACAGATGCATCCTCTCAAGGAGTCTCCAGGGTAGCAAGGGAGAATGAGTAATAATTACTGTAAATGCCAAGTCCTGGGCTAATGGTCAGATCTTAGATCTTTCCAAGGTAAAATTCATCCCTCTTTCCAAGACCAGGGTAGTCCTCCTCAAGCTCCTAGCCTGCTCGCTCACACAGACCAATCTCTTTAAAGCATCTTGGAGCAGTTCTGAGCCCATGTCAGGTATCTTTGATCCAACTAAAACATGGCTTTTAAAAACTGAAATATATGATTCAGAGATAAGGATGTAGCTAAGTGATAGAGCATTTACCTAGCATATGCAAGGTCCTGTGTTCAATCCCCAGCACGGGGGAGAAAACAAAATAGGTGACTCAAACTGGCACATGATGCTGTACAATGAAAAAATTTTTTAGAAACAAATATTAACTCATTGTATTTAACCTTTGAATTCCATTGTCAAAACATAATTTGGGACTGGAGGTGTGGCTCAAGTAGTAGTACCTGCTTTGCAAATGTG